AAGCTCAGCCTGTGAGAGCCGAGACTGGAGCTCCTCCCAACCTGGACACTCTCAACAGCTCTACGAAAAGAAGCGTATCAGGTAAGAACCAACGCCCCTTCTAGGCTCAAAGTGCCCCACTCTAATCAGCTAATTAAGCCATAACACCTGCAAAGTTTTCCTGAGCCTTTAAATGGTCTCTCAGTCTGGTTCAGTAGGAATCACAATCATGGGAAAGACCACTGACCTGACAGTTGTGAAGAAAACCATCAAAAGGTAATTGCAAAAGAAGTTGGATGCTGTAAGTGCTGTATCAAAGCACATTAATAGAAAGTTATGTGGAAGGGAAAAGTGTGGAAGAAAAAGGTGCACAAGCAGCAGGGATGACCTCAGCCTGGAGAGGATTGTCAGGAAAAGGCCATTCAAAAGTGTTGGGGACTTTTACAAGGAGTGGACTGAGGCTGGAGTCAGTGCATCAAGAGCCACCACACACAGACGGATCCTGGACATGGGCTTCAAATGTCGTATTCCTCTTGTCAAGCTGTTCCTGAACAACAAACGTCAGAAATGTCTTATCTGGGCTAAAGAAAAAAAGAACTGGTCTGTTGCTCAGTGGTCCACAGTCCTCTTTTCTGATGACAGCAACTTTTGCATCTCATTTGGAAACCAAGGACCCAGAGTCTGGAGGAAGAATGGAGAGGCACACACTGCAAGATGCTTGAAGTCCAGTATGAAGTTTCCACAGTCTGTGTTGATTTGGGGAGCCATGTCATCTGCTGGTGTTGGTCCACTGTGCTTCATTAAGTCCAGGGTCAACGTAGCCATCTACCAGAAGATTTTGAAGCACTTCCAGCTTCCTTCCACAGATGAGCTTTATGGGGATGCTGACTTCATTTTCCAGCAGGACTTGGCACCTGCCCACACTGCCAAAAGCACCAAAGCCTGGTTCAATGACCGTGGGATTACTGTGCTTGATTGGCCAGCAAACTCGCCTGACCTGAACCCCATGTAGAATCTATGGGGCATTGCCAAGAGAAAGATGAGAGACATGAGACCGAACAATGCAGAAGAGCTGAAGGCCGCTATTGAAGCATCCTGGTCTTCCATAACACCTCAGCAGTGCCACAGGCTGATAGCTTCCATGCCACGCCACATTGAGGCAGTAATTGCTGCAAAAGGGGCCCAAACCAAGTACTGAGTACATATGCATGCTTATACTTTTAAGAGATCCAATACTGTTAGTAACAAAGATAATTACCGGCTGAATCCCACCTGTGGTGCCACACTAAGAGTCTGGAATAAATATAAAACAAGGTTCTCTATGAAGTTGTCTCTTTGGGTGTCCCCCCATGAAGCTTTTTTGAGAAAAGAAATGGTGGCAAAGCCAGACTGGTGGACATATGGTAAAATACTATCTTTCAACTCTGGTGACCCTACACTAAAGTCGAGGGAAAAACTTGAATCAGAAGGTTATGTTTGCTATTGGTTTACATATCAACAACTGAAAGTAAGATTTAAACTAGATAGAGTTATGGGTTTGATTTAGTTAAAAATGAATTTGAAATCTTACTGTATGGTAGTGATGAACATATTATTGCTAAGATTTATAAAATGTTATTGAAATTGAATTTGGAAAGTGAACATGTAAAACATTGTATGATTCAGTGGGCAAGGAATTTTGGATATAATGTGATGCTTGAACAATGGAAAAATATGTGGATGAAAGGTTTAAAATTTACACTAAACTATAATTTAAAAGAAAATTTTAAAAGATGATGTGTCACTGGTATTTAACACGGGATAAGTTATCTAGAACAGGGGTCGCCAACCTTTTGGACCTCAGGGACAACCAAACTCATAATTTTAAATCCCGGGGACCACTAATACGAATTTTGACTGACTGTGGCTTGCTGACATTGCTGGGGGAGAGAGAGAGATCTGATCTAACCTCTCTCCCTCCCCACCCTCACACACACACAGAGGCAGGAGTGGGATTCAAATTTAACAACTGGTTCTGTGGGCGTGGCCTAATTTGTAGGTGTGGCTTGGTGGTCATATGGCTAGCTGGGCATGGCTTGTATGTAAATATTATATTTATGTAAATATTGATTTTTTATTATTTAAAAAAGAGCAACTTTTACCCAAAATCAGGTAAAGAAGGCAGGCAGATTGAGTTGCTCACAGAATCACAGATTCATTCAGAAATCTGCCATTGGCTAGCTCAGTCTGTCACATAAAATTTGCTTGAAAGCAAACTCACAAAATTAACTCACACCATGTATGTAAATATTGAATATTTTATTTAAAAAGCAACTTTTACACAAAATCAGGCAAAGCAGGAAGGCAGACTGAGTTGCTCACAGAATCATTCAGTGATCTATCTAACTGCCATCGGCTAGCTCAGTCTGTCACATAAAATTTGCTTGCAGTGAGTCTGCACTGAATAATAGAACCTTCAGTCCTAAGGAAGGCAGAGCAAAAGATCTAAAGACTATCTAGAAAGCAAGAAATTCATCCATTTCCTGCTTTCTACCTAATCTATATCTTCCTGCACAGCAGAACAGCTGATGGCTGGGACAAAAAAAGGAAAAATAGCAACTTAGCAGGCAGGTTTGCCAGGTAAGGAGTGAGTGGGCGGGGAGGATTCCCATGGGCCATGTGGATGGTGCAGCCTTGTGTTCCTGCCCAGCCTGGATTAATTGCTGGGGGTGTGTGCTCTGGGGGTGACATTTCTCTGCAGACCACCGAATTTTTCTCGTGGTGCACTAGTGGGCCACAGCCCACCGGTTGGCGACCACTCATCCAGACAAAGCCTACAAAGTTACCTAAGACCCCTGCCCCTACGAGTCTGACAGCCAATGGGATACATTTCTTTCCAACAGAGGGTATATAACTAAGGGACTCTTAGCCCTTCTTTTCCTCCACCCAACATCTTGAAGCATGTGATCATCCTTTTCACTTTGGAGCTCCAAGCCATTTGGTCCTCTCCACCATTAAACCATCTTTCCAAACAGCCTCTGTGTTTTCAGTGTCTTTTTCCACACTTGGAACTGAACCCAGAAAGATAATTCTTCCAACAAAACAATGGAGAACTTTATCTCCTGGCCAAGAGCCACTTGGTCACTCTCATTTCTTTCTTTTAAAAATTATGAATCTCTGCCAAGAATGTTCATGGATGAAATCTACATGCAACAGGACAGGTTTAAAAAAATCCTCCACTAAAAGACACCAATAGAACTTTGAGTGGCAGTTCCTCCTCCCCTCCCCCTATCTTCCCGGTTCGCTGCTTTAGAAGTAAGCAATGCAACCATATTAGACCCATGACAGTGAAAGGCTGGCCATGCTAATCCTTTGGATTGTATTAATAATCAGATTCTAGACAAAATGGTCAGTCTAACATGAGCCATGTGATTTTCAGCAAGAGCCCTTTCTTCCTCCCACAATTGTGTGAAAGAAAATGCTACACATGTGTACATACACCATTTCAGCATAACTTAAATTGGTCATAATACCCTGTTGACTTCCACACTTCCTTCTCTGGAGTTCCCATATTAGGCATACCTACTTGGACATAAGCTCTACTAAACTCAGAGACTTGCTCTTTATATGGCAGAAAAATTACCATAAATTTGTATTGTTGCTACACCCGTTTATTGGGAAATGTGGGGTTCAGTGAAGAGGCAGCAAAATATTTTCTGATCAATATTTATAGTTCCACTATAATGAAGAAACCAATTGCAGCACCCTTCCAACAGGTATTGACCAGAAAAGGAAATTTACACTAAGAGCAGGTTTAACACTCAGATTTTAAATCCCCCTATTATGCAAATTAAAGCTGAGGATCAGCTGGGAAGGGGAGGGAGCTAAAATGATTCTGAAGGCTACAGAGCGCCAAATCCGAATCTTAGCAAAAATCTCAACACCCCAAGAAAAGCTTCTTAGACCTATTATTAGTAGGGCTGTCCTAGAAAATTGGGGGGGAGGAATATGGTGGGGAAGACCAACCCCCAGAGCTGAAAAGGCTGATGAAGCTTCAGATTTCAACATCCAAAACAGGTTTTCAAACATTACTATGGGAAACCCAGATTTATTAGATTTGTTTGCCTATCTCGCTTTGAGGGGACTCAAATTAAATTGGGTTAGAGAAAAAAATCATTAAAGGAAGGGGCAAATAAAACATGCCTTCTCAGTCCCCACCCTCAAGGAAAAATCCCAAGTAGTGCAAAAACATTTTCCGGTGTTAATTCAATGACATGGACTAAAAAAAACACCAAGTCCCTTAAAGGCAACAATTCTCAGATTTTCCACTATTAGGACTCAAAGCAAAAGGTGAAGAGGGACTGACAACTCGTTCTGTGGGGAGGGGACGTTTTAAAAAAGTTGTACATGATCCGGCCATAAAAATAATACAATACTGAGAGGAATTCCCCCCCCCCAATTCGGGAGAATTTTCGGGGGAGGGAGGGGAAGCATGAAGAACAACTATTTCCAAACACAACAGTTTGGACAAGTTCTCCTTATACCAATTGGCTTTGCTTCAAAGGGGGGGGGGGGGGGGGAGGAGAGAGGACACCCCCCCCCCGCCAAGAGTCGGATCAGGCAAATGTGAAAGGCAGAAATTTAGGAATCCGATTCTATTCTATGATTTATTTAGCGTAACCAGCTTTCACTCGACTTGATGTTTGCATCGGTGAGAGCCAGGCAAAACACAAACAAGCGTTCAAAAATACACACAACTGCTGCTCACAAGTTTTGACAGCCCGGTTCACCGAGAAGGGGGAAATGAGAACCACCATGCATGGGGGGGGGGGGGGAGGAGGTGCCCTTCATTTGCTAACGGACCAGATTAAAATAGTTTCTCCCCCTGGACAGAAACCACTCAATGAAATTCAAAGGCACTCTTTTCCCGAAGCTTCCCTGGACCGGGCAAATTTTTTTTTAAGCGCTGAACCTTACGCATGCTTGTAGTCACCAACATTAAAAGCCCGAAACGGCTGCAAATATAGCCCATTGTCCTTTACCTGTTGCCAGTATTCCTCCAGAGATGGCAAAGCGGAGAAGTAACCAGTGTCGTGAACAATTTGGAGTTCCTGAAAGATGCTACACATTGGAAGTACATCCATGCCTTTCGTGGGGGGAGGAGGCGGGGGGAAGGAACGGAAGTTGCAACAAGCAGCCCTCCGCAAAGGCAGCGTCAGATCGCGGAGTGGGGGTGGGGGGTTCGCAGGTCTGAAGAGCGGAGCAACGCTTACGGAGGTCTTGGCCTCCGTCTCGGGATGTAATTGCCACGGCAGGTGATGGCAACAGAAATACGACCAGCTATTTAGAAAGTCACACTTCCTCCAGAGAAAACACCAAATTCAAAGCAAAAAGTCACCCAGCAGAAAGTACTTTCAGGGGAGAAAATAGCAATCTACCGCTAGATATATTAAATTCCTGTTCAGGATTTGAGACGAAGACATGCTTTTAAACACTATAAAAAAAGTTCCATGCAAAGTTCCATGCAAACTGCACAGCAATATATCAGGGTTCTTTGGCCCCTCTCTTTTGGTTGGTTGGCTTTTGTTTTCGCTTTTTGTTTTGCAGTGTCTCCGACGCTGTTGAGACTACGTTCCACTCCTGGGGCTCTCCAGAAGGTAGTTGCTGTGAAGCCCACTCAATATTTGCAAACACCGTGATTTCAGACGTAACCCGCTCCAAAAGTTCCCTTTCAGAACTCTCCTTCGCTGCAACTACCACGACCTTCTACCTCCCTTCTGCTGGAAACCACAGTCCTTTTACTCCCCTCCCGCCGCCCCCACCTCGTGATCTATTACGCAGGCTCAGAACGCTGCCCAATCTATAAACAACAAACTCGTTACACCGCGTTCCAATGATGTCAGACTAGTCCTATGGCCGCGCATCTCGGCTCCTCCTGGCGTTACCGAACCTCTCCGTGACGCCTCACCCCATTGGTCCGATTCGAAATTCGACCCGTCGTGTGATTGGCCTTGGAAACGAGAGGCTATTTTTAGAAGTGTATAAAGCTGGAAGGTACTCAGACTGAAAGCTTTTGCTTCTTGTGGTGGGGTAAGGTTGTTGTAATACTGAAAGTAAAATGGAGAGGCGCTGCTAAACCGAGCATGGAGCGCTGGAGATACTGAAGATGTTAAGCAACTTGTACAAGTTACAGTAAGCTTTTTTTAAAAAAAAGGGAAATCACGACATCTAGGCAAGCTATTTGGACTGCAAAAGTCCAGACGACTGCTAGATTACAAAGATGTGTGGGAGATCTTTATCCTGCCATCTAGTGGCATTCCGGATTTTGAAAACTAATGAGAAAGCTATCGGAGTG